TCTCTCTCTTTCTTTCTTTCTCCTCAGGATGACGGAGGTGGAGACTGGTGGCAGCAGAGCAGAGCTTGGTGTGTATATGAGAAGAGAGATACAGCAAGAAAGAAAGAGGGAGAGAGAGTGGTGAGGGAAGGAAGGATACAAGAGAAAGTGAGTGAGAGAGAAGGAAAGAGAGGAGGGGGAGAAGAGGGGGACAGAGAAGAGGGGGACAGAGAGAGGGGGGGGAGAAGCAGTCAAGCGCTTATCGCCCATCAGTGTGGAGTAGCTGAATTAGCTTCTCATGCGGCGCAGGCCTCCAGAGTGACGGACTCGTTTTTCATACTGTCAGCCTCTCCACCCCTCCCTCCCTCTATCTTTCTCCCTCTCTCTCTCACTCTTCACACATTTCATTCTGCTACTTTTTAGCTACTTCCTTTCTTTCCTCCTTCCCTTTTCTGCCCTCCCCCTTCATTTCTATTTTATTTCTTTGCTTCCTTGGTTTATTTCCCTTTCATTCCTTTTTTCTTCTTTCTTTCCCTCCTTTCTTTAATTATGTTTTCTGTCGTTTGTTCCATTATTTGTCTCTCCTTCCTTCCCTTTTTTTGTTTTTTCCTTTCTCCTTTACATAGTTTTCTTTGCTTCTTGTGTCATTTTCTTTCATTCATACCAGTATTTAACCCCTTAAATGGCCGGCGGGCCCCAAGTTTTATTACACACTTCTGTAAGCTAAGAACAGCTCAATCAGTTTGCAATGAAGTCCCTGTAGTTACTGAATAATAAGCCTGGGATTTTAAGAGACATGAACACACACATACACACACACAAACTGCACTGTCTTCCACAACTATAGAAGTTATTAGCCATTAGCCTCATTACCATTGTGAGAAAAATATTATATAGTATTGACTACTGAATCTCTCTCTCTGTAGTGTGACTATATGCATTAGTGTGTGTGTGTGTGTGTGTGTGTGTGTGTGTGTGTGTGTGTCCAAATCCTCAATTCCAATCCAGTCTCACCCCCATAATCTATTCTGACTTAATGTTGGCCTCAACTTGAATGCTGGTGCCTCAGCATTCAAGCACTCAGATGCTATGCACACTTTCCTGTGACAGACGCTCCAGTGTTCGTATCTGTCACAGGAAGGTGCATATAGGTTTATTGCTATTCACACACCCAAACACCTCAGACACACACTCTCAGCCTGCTCCTCAGTGAGCTGGCAGTAAAGGGCATAGTCAGTCTGGCCACAGGACAGTCCCACTGATGGCTCTGACAGAGGACGCTCTAGACATACCCTTACTGCTGTTTATTTACAGCTGCTGAAAGCCTGTCCAAACTTCAGTGCTTCTCAAAAGCCAGGGTCAGTGGAAGCTCTGTTCTGGCCTGTTCTGAAAAAACAAGATGTTTTCCATGTACTTGATTTAAACATGTGCATCATTTACACATGTATAAAATACATTACAGCACAGTTATGTAATTAATTATAATGAATTATATTGATGTAATATATTATATTGTTATTGTTTTTATGTAAGATTATGTATGCAAGATTATTATATCAAATTAAAAATGTAAGATTTTATTCCAAGTAATTTGGAACCATGTCTATTGGTCCAGCTGGCATTTTCAAATGACAGTGACAAAATTTTATTAATATGGAAATGAGGAAATGATGCACACATTGAAGTTTAGTGTATCACTTTTTCTCATTTTATTTAACGAACTAGATTCCTGTCTTCTCCAATGAAACACAGTATCAGGGAGGGTCTCTGAGCTAGCTGAACATTTTTCACGTGATCATAGGTTGGAACACAATATTATAGGGATGCGCTGAACATTTGGCCACTGAAAATGGACTATTTTCAGCTAAAAATTGTGGGTGGCCTAAATTTTAAAAGATTAATGATTCAGATATTACAAATAATTGTGATGGCAATAAAAATGAGAAATAGTATTACAAACCACCATTTGCTTTCTTCACTCTCCTGCATTGTTCAGCACGGATACGTTCAAACAGTCTGAATAGCAGCAAATCAACAGTGAAAATGTCACCTGTGTGGAACTATTTCACAGTTTCTGTGAGCGACATTAGACAAGTAATTTGTAATCACTGTTCATGTCAAGCATCAGGGGGGGTGTATAACGCCTAAGGACTTGTCCATTCTCCAGTTTTTCAAATAACAATAACAATCAATTTAACTGACAGGTCCAAACTATAACTAAAGAATAACAGAATTCTTTGCCTTGGATGAGCATTCTCTGTTGTTAAGGACTCTGTAATCATTTTTGAAAGCTTTTTTATGTAAACTGTTTTTATTAATTGAACTTTACTGAACACAGGATGTCCTGAATTTTGGTTTTGGTCGAGAATTTTTGTTTTAGTGCATCACTAGTTATTTCCTGCCCTCTGCGCAGAGTGATCTAATCAGACGGACAAATGTCGTTACAATCTGATGGGCAATTATGGAAAACAACAATTTTGAATTTCTAATCATCTGATGCAGTGAATCAAGCTTAATATGACCATGGACATGAACTAACAAGATTAAAAAGTAAAATATGATTTTAGGTTGACACAGTATTTAATAATACCTACTGTGTTACTGTGTAAGAATGATGCTCTAATCAAGTACCTCAGTACTACTACTGCAAATACAATGAGTGACAGCTGATTTGTGTTTTCATGATTGTGCATGCATTGAGAAGCAGGCTGTTCTCTAGGTAATCATGTTTGTTTGTTTATTTGTTTGTTTGTTTGTTTGGGTGTGTGGGTCTGCAGTTCCCTGCAAGTCAAATTTAAATGTGCTGACTTTCCGGTTTATGAATGACCTGTGTGCCCTTCATGCTGCATGAGGGAGGCAGTTAACTCCCAGAGCAATTATGAGTACGAATGAACAAAACACACACACACACACACACACACACACATTCACACGTACACATACAAATACAGACCAAAAGCAAATATGCACTTGAATTGCACTTTTGCATATTTGCATAATTTGACATTCGCACAGACCCAAAACACAGTGCAAACCTAAGTCATTTATCACACTCTAAATAATGTCTGCACACACAGTTCAGGTCGCTCTCTTTTCCCTCATTCAGAGCATGCTTCGTCAGCAGCTCTCACACTGCTGCCCATCTTTATATGAGTGCTGAGCAAAACTGGATAAAATTGTGAATTTGGCCTCTGCCAAGACTTCTAAAGGTGGCCTAATAATGAGCCCTAACTGTGCCTGACTATTAAATGGGAGAACCCTATATAAATGGAGATTTAACAGGAAGCAGATATCTGACCAGTTCAGGGTTTTGTTATTTTTGTAAAAGAGGTTTTGATTTAAAGGAGCTACATTTAATACTAAACAATTAATGTGGAGAAATTATTTGATAATGAATAGGGAAGCAATGACATGGGAATTGAAGGCCAATGCTGATATGCTTCATGTAAATATCTGCTAATGCTGATAGATAAACATTTATAAAAGTGCAGTAATTTTACTACTTTTACATTGCAGAAAAATGTAACACTCTTTGTAGCCCACCGGCGCTGAAATATTCTGCTAATCCGTAGTACAGTAAATGCATCACCAAGTCTATACTTGATCTAAACATCTGGCCAATGTTGATCACTTTTTCAAAGCAAAATATATTCAGATAATATTATGCATCCCTAATAATTAATAATCCTATACAAGCTAAACTTACTGTTACTTTTTACAGCGTACTGCTAGTCGTCCTGCTACTTACTTTTCCTTACTAGACCTCTGTGCAAAAATTGAGTGCCCCAGTCCAATTACAGGTTTTGATGGGTTTTCTATGTGAAAATAATTTTACACATCCCCTACAGAGAACATACGTCTGTACATTGTAATGCACAAATATTTTTACTGAATTAAAAAAAACAAAAAACATAGAACGTGGCCTGTGGCACATTTATTTTTGTATTTTTTTTTCTGAACTCAAATAGAAATTGTGCACTAAAATGTGCAGTCAGAAAATCAACAAAACGTCATTTGTCCGTGGGTGTACAAACTTTTGCATACATATTTGTAGGTCCAAGGGTAAGCTCACTTTTTTCCATCTTGAAAGAAGTAGTGTGAGATGAAGTGACAAATTGAAAATGATCTTTTAATGCACTGTATTTACAGTAGGCTAGCAAATAACAGAGATATAAGGTCTTTTCAGAGATGTGGGGTACTTCAGGTTTAAAAAAGAATTTAGGAGAGCCTAAACATTTTTCCCCTTACCCCAATACCCAATCATCCAAGATATGTTTGGCATCTGAAGTTTGCTTCTCTAGTTTTTCATTGTAACAACAAGGCTAATGTAGCTAAAAAGTAATATAAGCTTAACCCTTTAAATGACCTGAAAAAAATCTCAACCAGTTTGCATTAAAGTCCCAATAGTTACTGAATAACAAGCTTTAGCATGTAATAAGCCCTATGCACAAAATTGAGACATGCTGTCAAGCTAAAAACACATTAGCAGTCATCTGCCTGTGCAATGCCTGTACTCTTGTCCTTTTATCTATGTATTTATACATAACAGTATGATATGATAGGGCAATTTAAATTTGATTTTTCACCAAACCATTCCTTTAAAGGCCTTGCTGAAGGCTGTGTCGGCAGTACTGAATGGAAGGGCATAAACATCACACCCTGCAGCCCTGCAACCATCTCATTTCTAATGTGGACCTCTTTCCCACCGCCTTATTTCATTTCATCATTCACTTCATTTCATCATTACATAAATTTTTAACACAAACTTCTTACACACAACTCCTTTAAAGTCAGATGAAAAGATAAATGTGAAGGACAACAGTCGTCCCAAACCGCCGTGTACTAGCACACACAAACAGGCAAGCTTAGGGGCCCACCAGGGGACCGTGTGTGAAAGGACAGTGACAGTGCAGCAGAATCAGGGGCAGAGCGGCTGGGTGGCTTTGAGTTTCGTGTCCTGTCTGACAGACACTACTCAGAGTGAAAGGCCGGCCGTGAGCAGAAGACAGCACTGACAGTACCTGTCATACAGATCCTCCTGATAGCAGTCGTAGTCCAGCTCATGCTCCGATCTGCGAAGAGAGGGGCAGAGAGGGAGAGAAAGAGAATGAGTGAAAAGGACAAAGCATCTGTCATCTCAGCTGACAGACACATAAGCTCACAACACTGTCCGTCCGCACCGTCCATCTTCACACCTGACAGAGACATCTCAGACCAAAGACTCTCTCTCTCTTCCTCTTTAACCCTCTCTGTCTCTCACTTGCTCTCACACACAGTGGAGGTAATAAGCCTTGAAATTTGCATTTAGACAATTTGCATATTTGGGTGTGTGTCTGTAAGCACAGGTAAAACTACATTAAAAACATCATTAACTAATCTGGTACACAAAAGTTTGCAGACTGGAGAAATCTGTGAAAGGCAGATTTCCTTGAATGAAATCCAGCTTATTAAAGTAAATAGTTTGTGTGGCAATGCTAGAACATAATGGGTAAAAATATTACATAATAATGTAAACAGATTAGTGATTATATGTTAGTTGAAGGCACGGCCACTGAAGCTGCCTCTAAGGATGGCACCGTTATTAGTTTTTATGATAAATCTAATGATATTTTAAATTTTAATAATTCCAATAGACATGTAAGATTATCATATTTTAAAATGTTACAGTGGAAGTGAATAGTGAAAAAAAACAAAGAAATCTGTAAATGAAACTGTAAAAAGCCCAGCAGCAAGGGTGCTGGACAAAACCTGTTAAATAACAGTAAAAGGATTTTTTTTCAATGATGGTAAAAATTTGTCAAATTACAGTCATTTAATTTCTTAGAAATCCTGGCATACAGTATTTTACCACAATAATAACAATAACAACCATTAAAATAAATGCAAATGTCCGTAAAATAAAGGTGCCATTTTTTGTGAGTTTACATTCTATTTCTGGAAATTAACAACAACAGTGTTAAAATACAGTATATGCCCCAATTATAACAATTGTAGCTGCAATTGTTCCAATTATAACAGTGTTATGAAGCATCACTTCCAAGTGCTTAGAAGGCAGAGACCTAGTTAAGACTATCACATATCAGTTCTACGGACGATTCTGACGCCCTCAAACTTAAAGTGATAATTTTCATAAAAATTATGTACAATATGTCTTTACACATTGCCAAATAAATTTGAGTGACATTAGAGATAGCAGAGTATCAAAATTAGAAGTACTTTGAGCTATTATAGATCATTATTGGAATACCTTCCAATCTCTAGCCACTTCAGTGTACAGTGTACCATAATGTAATTTGTAAGTCAAGTTTGACTTCCACTGAATGAAAATGACCAAGAATGGCAGGGACCCTCTGTCCATTATTGCTGTGCAAACTAGCAGCCAACCAGACATCTGTGTGGTCATGTGGCAGAGTGAAGAGCTTAAAGCAGGGTTGGACTTCTCAAGCTGGGGAATGACTGAACTCAAATAATAAGCACAAATGATTCAGAATTCACACTTTACTCTGACTGACACGATGAGTAAAGCAGCAGGTCTTTCTGCTCCCAAAAAATAGGTGACCACATGCTACGTTTATTAATAGCAGGTATACCACTTACAGTTCAAGTGTGGTAGTTGTAATAAGGACCCATGTCTCCTTTGATTTTCATGGTTTAATAGCAAGTAATAAGTTTACCACCATCCAGTTGACTAGACAGTAATGACAGTATAATACATGTTTTGTTCATACCACTTTAAATGAGGTGAATACATGATGCATATGATGCAAAGGAACTGCATTTTTATTACCAATCTCAAAATGAATCAAACAAAAAGAGGTCCATTAAACAAATCATGCTCTTGTCATTGTTCGTAGGAAATAGAAACTGAATCAAAGTGCAATATTTAGACAGTCTTCATAAATCAAGCCCTTACTCTTTGTGAAAGAGGAAAAGATTTCAGCATAGAAAATTATTGCACACTCAAAGCAAATGTTCCTTCTCCAAGGCTATTCCCAGAACTGCTCAAGATCGCACACACATGTAGAAACAGAGGTTCAGACATGAAAGCTTTAATTAGTGGAACATCTTCATTTCATCAGAATTCAATATTACATGTGAGCAGTGCTAAAAGAAATGGTGTGTGATGTGTGTGTGTGTGAGTGTTTCCAGCTCAAGAGGGAATTTGCTATTCATAGTCTCAGGCCAGCTGGAAAAAGACATCTGATTTTTTTTGTTACTGCTCTGATAGTGGAAAGTTCCCAATATTTGTGCCACACTTTGCACTGGTAAATGTCAGACCTGAATGTTTGGAGGGACGCTGCAGGCAGGTTTAGTCATGCTAATGAAAGTAAATGAGATAATAAACACCTGTCACTGGTGCATATGTGATATGCACAAACATAAGCACAGAGCTTCATAGACGTACATACAGAGGTGGCTAGTGAAATGTACTGAAGTCAAATTCTGATGGATTTGTGAGGAAAGATTTAAAACCCTGATGCTTGCCTACAAAGCCAAAAATCTCCTCCCTACCTGATGACAATGGTCAAAGCTCCATTCATCCCACATGCACTTCAAGCTTAAAGTATGGCTCAGCTTCACCCGCCATCCATTAAGACGCATGAAAGATAAGCATCAAGACTCTTCTCTGTCCTGGCACCCAGGTGGTGGAACACTGACTGAAGACCCATCTCTTTGTGAAACATTTAAATCTAGCACTTACTGAAGTGTCTTGCATGTATGCTATGCCTTAACTGTTTATTTTGTATCTAATCTTTTAGGTTTCTGGCAATGTTTTAGCTCTAGGGTAGTTTGAACTGTATCGTAGCTAGTAACCAGTATTTGTACTAGCTATGATACAATCAACAACAAAGCAGTTACTTAAGAGCATCTGCTAAATGTCGCAAATGTAAATAAAAGGAATTTACTCAGTTATATTTTAGTCATTAATATTTAGTCACCTTTTTTGTTTCATTTCATTATATAACACTGGTGACAGCATCTGGACTGTTTGCTGTTCTCTCCTCTCATTTTTATGCTTCAGGATTTTATTTTAGACCAAATGGATCCCAAAAAGAGAAGAATAGCATGTAATAAACTTCAGTTCCTATGGTGACAGACGCTGGATATACTGAGAAGATATGTAGTACATGATATGTATCAGTAAAAATCAAATTTACATAATTTTCTTTACATATTTTCCGCAAAAAATCCTCAACACTTTTCTCAAACTGTTTCCAGGTCTTCATTCAGGTTGCAATGACTGTTGTGGTTTAGAGCAGAATATGGCTTACTGTAGCCTATAAAAATGAACAAGACTTCACTGTGTTGCTGAACGCTGCAGGCAGCCATATAGCCCTAAATCTCCTGCTGCTCAGGTGTTTCTGACACCAGTAATCTGATATGTCTCCTCTTGAGCAAAGTTCTCATTAAAGTCACATATTGTGCCACGACAATAATTCTAATGTTTATCTGCAACTAAACTAAAGGCAGTAATCTCAATACGATACTCTGAATATACACCTGTTGCCTAAAATGGTTGCTTACAATGCTTATCTACGCAGTGAAATTGTGTGCCTTTTTAAAGCTAACAGTAAGTCAAATGGTGTTCTAAACCACAATGACAAGTCAAGTGTAACCCTAATGAAGACATGGCTGCAGTTTGAGTGGGTTGAGAAAAACGTGTAAGGTATTTACAAAAAAGATTTGGGTGACTATTGACTTCTAGTGGTAGCAATGTCAGCTTCATAGGTCCAGCGCCAAACTAGTCAAACTTCTTATACACAATTTTAATAAAACAATATTTCACAGAAGTAACAATACTTTTACTTGAGTATAGATTTGACTACCCATGTCAGGGTACATACATAAACAAACACATGTACACCTATGTGTACCTATGCTTTGATTGTTTTTTCAATATATCTGCTGAACGTACGCACTATGCAATGTGTACTTCACTGCATGGCCAAGAAGAAAAAAAGAAGCTGAACAACCTGAAATGCCTTTTTTAATATACCACACTGTGGTAAACAGCCATGCTATTAGAGGAAGATACCTAATGAGGACAAGCATTCACAGACAGACCACACACACACACACACACAAATGAAGAAACACTACCCCACTCTAGCTGTCTGCAAGCTCCTGGAGATTCTCCAAGTTCCTGTTGCTTTCAGCGAACTGATGTATCTGTAAACACTTCAAGCACTGTAATAGAAGACAGAACCTGCTGCTGGTACACACAAACACACACACACACAGACACACACACACACACACACACACACACAGCACACACACAGACTCCTGCTGTAGTCATTCTGCTCATTCCTCTTCCTCACTCCCTTCTGTTCTCATCTTTATTCTTCTGGTCAAAACTCTCCACTCTGCATGTCCCTGAAGGCAGCGGGCTACAAATAATCACTAATAAGTGTCAACATTTATGCCCCTTACAAGCCTGCCAAATGCAGTTTATGATGGTGCCTGAGCTGTAGGTGATTAATGAGACAGGCTCTGTTTTCCTGAATAGATCTGTAATCAGAGATGGCACACATCTACATTCTCCAGCAGTCAGTCTGGGGCAGGAGACAGCAGTCCATACCACTCTGAATCACCCCCACTAACACCGCTGTCAGACTTTTACTGTCACCTAAGACTAAAAGCTTTCTCTCCACCAATCACTGTCAGCACACTCAGCAACAAACGACAAACTCCGAACTTCAAACTGAGACAACTAAACAAAGACATTAAGACAAATAACAACACAAAATAAAATAATATTAGAGCGGAGATTTATATATATATTCCGATAAGGCCAATAGAGGTCTGGCAGAATGAAAGTCAGGCTGCACTACAACAGCATTTTGTTTTGTTGTCGGCACAATACCTCATATATTTGAAATGGTAACTTTATTTCAAATCATTTTGGGCCAAGGACCTCTTAACTCTTAACTCTTTCTGTAGTCGGTTAGATGCCCTAATTAAAACTCTGGGTCTCGATGGGAAAAATGAATTTACTCCTTGAATCTCACTGGATCCTCTGAATTACGAGGTTGTTAAAGAGTATATGAATATGAATACTACTTCATGC